TTTGAGCAGCTCAGCCTGGGATGATCAACAAGAGGACAGAACATGGCGAGACAGCACTGTTGGTTGCCGTCAGTAGAGAGCATCTGGGATGCGTTGAGGTGCTCCTGGGAAGAGGAGCTGATCCTGACATCCCAAACTATGATAAAGAGACACCACTGTACAAAGGTAAAAGAGACAGGACACACATGGAGCAGAGAAACCCCCCCAAAGAAAAACAGAAATGATGATGCAAATGGATGAAAGGGTCCTAACCTTTTTTAATTATTTTTTTTCTTATTTTTATCCCATCTTCATAAGTTTTAATTAGGAGATTAGACTCTCTTTGACATCCAGTAGGAACAGCTTCACCAAGCCACTAAAAACAACCAATTTGACCAGCTCTGCATGAAATTTTAATCTACGTGGACTATATTTTGGAGATTGCCAATTTATAAACATAGACCAAGCAGTCATACCAGCAGGAGTAAAACAGGGAGATGATTTAATCTAACCCTAACCTAATGGACATCGTCTCAGCTTGAATCAACTGCATCTGATTCTTGTTTGGGTGAAATGTCCCTTTTATGTCTCCAAAAGTTGATTCTGTTCATCTGGACATAGCGTTTTCAGTGGGAGACTGAAAACACTATGTTCAGAACAACAGAATCAACTTTTGGAGATTTACTTACCTGGATAATTGAGAATGCATCAAGATGTCCCTTTTATGTGTTTTCCAACCTAACCTATAGCCTGTGAGAGGAGCAACCCAGCAATTGTGGCAGTGTTGCTGAACCACGGAGTAGTGGTGAACACTCGCTGCATTCAAGGGTGGACGGCACTACAGGAAGCTGTTAGCCGAAACAACCTGGACATCTGTGAGATGCTCCTGAAGGCCGGCGCCAAACACAGCATCAGCAACATGTATGGCATCACACCACTCTTCACCGCTGCTCAGAGTGGGCAGCTCGCCACGCTGCGTTTTCTGCTCAAACATGGTAAATAACGTGGTTAATGAACTTGTTGCACACTGAACACTTCTGTTGCCACTGAATTAACTCCACCTTTGACCCCACCCCATCTCCCATTTTGCAGGTGCTGACATCAACAGCCAGGCAGCTGATGGCGCGACAGCTCTGTATGAAGCCACTAAAAATGGACACGAACAAGTCGTTGAGCTTCTCATTTCCCAGAACGCTGATGCCAACAAACCAGGAAAGAGGGGACTGCTACCTCTTCATGTTGCTGCCCAGAGAGGAAGTGACACGTAGGTACACTATGAAATGTTTACCGAGTTGTGCAGACTCACTGGAGTTAATTTGGTATTTAATAGTGGCATTGTGTTAAGTGTGGCTACCTTGACTCATCCAGGTTTTAGGTATCTGGAGCAATTTTAGGGAGCAACAGCATTAACCTTAAGTGTTCCCAGTGTTTCTAGACCAAAGTAGCGATGGGGTTTCGGCCACAAGTGGCCCAGATGTTCCTGGGCACAAGTGGCGATGTTTCTGGCCATGAGTGGCCCAGGCGTTTCTGGTCATAGGTGACCCAGGGTTTTCTGGTGCTAAGTAGCCAAAATGTTTCTGGCCATAAGTGGCGAAGTGTTTCTAGTTGTAAGCGGCCCAAGTGTTTCTGATTGTAAGTGCACTAGGTTTTACTGCTTGTACAGGGCCGAGGTGTTTCCGGTTGTAAGTGGATAAAATGTTTCTGGCTGTGAGTTGCCATTGTTTTTCTGACTGTAAATGCCCCAGATGTTTCTGGACATAAGTGGGCCAGCTGTTTCTGATCGTTAGTGACCAAGTGTTTCTGTCCGTAAGCGTCACTAAGGTGTATCCGTTTAGGCTAATTGCTAGGTGTTTCCTGTTCCCAGCATAGTCTCCATGTTGATCCCAGCCACCAGTAAGGCCAGAGTCCGGCGGACTGGCATTAGCCCTCTGCACATGGCAGCAGAGCGTAACCGTGATGATGTCCTGGAGACTCTAATCGGGGCAGGGTTCGATGTCAACGCCCAACTATCAGAGGAGTGGTCTAGGTTGTACGAGGACCGCCGTAGTACGGCACTCTACTTTGCTGTTATCAACGACAACATTGATGCCGTGCAAATGCTCCTGACTGCTGGCGCTAACCCAAACTTGGATGTGTTCAAGCCTGTGATGGTAGCAGCAAGGCAGGGCTGCATCCAGACCATCACACTGCTTGTAGAACACGGCGCTGAGATCAATGCTACCATCCCAACCCACCCCACTACTTTCCCTGCCGTGTACATGTTCTCAATGAAGTACCTGCCTATGTTCAAGTACCTGCTAGACCATGGAGGCAATGCCCTTTCCTGCTTCAATTGTGTGTATGGCAGTCGTCCTCACCCACCAGTCAAAACCAGTCGAACAGAGAGGGATGAACTCCATGATATCGACCAAGCTGTCCCAAGAAGAGGCATTCAGGTGACCTCTATTTTTCCTTTTAATTTTGTGTTTATCTGGTAAAATGAAACAAATCCAGGTAAAAATCAAAACAACAAAACCATTACCATAGCTACTCAGGTGGCCTTGTTTGAAACGGGGTATTTAAAGACTGTTAATGTGTGTGAAAAGGGGACATTTAAAGACCTAATGGTGTTTTAGGATGAAAGATCTCATGTTTAAAATGTGGCCTATACTCCAAGCCAGTCAAACATATCCAGGATAACTTTTTATTATCTAACAGTGATCATTAATATTGTACATAAGCCAGGTTATCTGAATCTAGCTCTGAGTGCATGCAGTTGGGCTGTATGCTTGGGTAATACCTGAAAGTACCAGGCAAAACCTTACTGCCTAATCACAGTACTGCCTTCAGGTGACCTCACGATAAAGTTAAGGTGTAACTAATTGTTTGATACACTCACGGACTGACAGTTCTGTGAGATGATATCCATCCCCAGTATCTGTCGATGGGCGGGGCCAATTATTGATGTCTTGTTGGATTACGTCGGCCATGTGACTCTTTGCTCCAGACTGATGGAACACCTGGACAGTTACTCTGAATGGACCTGCATAAAGGAGAAAGCAGGTAAATCAAAAAGTGATAACTGATTCTTCTGCAATTTTACTGATTTCAGTGTTAATAGTTATTCTAGTGTGTTTCCAGGCTAACCAGTCTGTGTTTGTTTCAGCTCCACCGCGCCCACTGCTGCAGCTCTGCAGGCTGCAGATTCTTCATCTGGTTGGTCACCGTCGGTTGAAGAAATTGCCACTCCCTGGGGGTCTGATCCGCTTCCTGCAGCATCAGGAGTTGATGTAGATTGACTGATGTTTATAATCTGGATGGTTTGACTGAGAGTTATTGATTAGCTCTGATTTTTAAAAAAAAAAATTGGTACCCTGATGGTGCTGGAGACAGCAGTGGTAATCCACTCTTAATGCTGCACAAACGTTTTTTGTTTTTTTTTTAGTTTTTGAATAAATAAATGCCACAAGTGAAACCCCAGGGGGCACAAAGACTTGGCCTAAACAGCCAAGATGACTCTGAACTGTCTCTGACCGATTTTGAGTGATTCAAAGTCCAGACTCAAAGGGGTTTTTTTTGTGTGTGTGTGTGTGTTTATGTGTTGTTTGATGTGTTGACATACTGCAAATCAATTTCCCATTGGGGACAATAAAGTTACCACTGAGCACTAAGACTGATCATCTGTGGAGACTCCTGAAGGTCTTCACTAACGACTCCCACCTAAATGGAGACCGAGAGGGTCTTTCTGATCAAGCAATGCAAGGCCTGCATATTTACCCAGGAATCATTTGAGGATCTGAAGGTTTCTTGTTCTGAATAATCTGAAAGAATAGAAATAATTATTTTTTAATGACAAAAGAAACAAGGAGAAAGACTGTGATCCTCATTTTCAACTCATGACATTGTGGAAGGACAAAAAAATAAAAAATCAACTTGACGGGGAAATGATTAAAAAAAATACAAAAACAAACAAATATTCTGATTTGCTCAGGGTTAATATCCCGAAGAAGCAGACAAGGTGTCCAAAGCTTTCCTGTCTTCACTTTATCTAAACTGCTTTTTGCAAGGTTTGAAATTATTTGTTTAATTTGCTTTAAATGATTCTAGAAGCTTTATTTCCCAAAGTAATACTGTTTTTTATCATTAATTGTTCATAAATTGATAAAACAAATCTGACTTCACCAAATATTCTAAAAGGAAGATACATCCATCCATTATTGAGTTGTAGGTTCTTAATCATACTTTTGTCCCTGAATATTTTAATTATTCCACGTTAAACTGGAATCTGGTTTCTTCATTCATTTTCACCTTGTTTGAGTGAATATTCTGAAATATCTTGATAAGCTCATAATTTAGCAGTGCTCTAGTGTAATGTTCAGATGAACAGAATTGCATCATCAGTGTACAGTGAGAGCATTTTCAGTCTGTTACTAGACAGATCTGTGAACTGTTACAAAGATTTGCTTGTTAGTCTGAGAAGCAGTGGTGATGGTGAACAGATGTTTTGTCAGCTGTTTTTGATAAATTGTTACTGAGCTGAGCTTTGACTGTTTACTGATGTTTTGATGTAAATCGATTCTGTTTTATTGTGAAAGGGCCTTAAATCTAGCCTGGAAGAAACAAAATATTACTTTACCAGGAAAACAACCAGCATCATCCTGAATCGACTTCAGTCCCACTCCAGGTGAGCAACTTTAAGGTCCACATTGAAGCAGTCCTAACCCGGTCCCAGCTCCTCATCAGATGCTGCTTCACCTCAAAGTCAACTCTTCCATTACCAGCCAGTTTTCACTGCCTGGTGATGGAAGAGGTTACACACATAATGAAAGTAATGGCTGCTATAGGTAAATTAGTGTGAGAGGAAACACCCTATATAAAAAAGTGTTTGTGTTTTAAATGTTTGGGTCTGTCAGACTGGAAATGAGCTGCTATATTAATAAAGTTTAGGCTGTTTGAAGGCAAAGAAAAACTGTCTTAAAATCCAACTGTGTGAGAGAACAGACTGATCAATATCAATAATGATTAGGACACTGAAGAACTTGATGGCTTATATTTGATTATTTCATTAAATTAATGAAATTTCATTAAATTATCAGCCGAATTTTATCATCTGAGACTCTGAACTATAAGATTATTCAATGAAGGATCCAAACTGTCACAGAAACAAGTAAACGGGAACAAAGACAAACGAACATGAAAATGATTAAAATCAGTTTGTATGCAGTTATATTTGATTTCATACTGACTTGTAGTATTAACGCGCTAATGTGTAATGACGCTGTTTAAACAGCAGGCGGCACTGTGTAATACATGACGTAATCCTTTGGCATCAGGTGACTTACCCGGAAGAGAGAGACGAGACTTCACGAGAACAACAGCGATCAAAACACGATCCTGCAGCTGGATTTTAATTTGAAATATCAGCGCGAAGGAAGGTAAGAAAACATAAGCTAACAGGATGCTAACAGGCAGAGAGGAAGATGGAGGCCGGAAGGAAGCAGCTCAGTGTGTCGTGGTCGTCATCTACAGGGAAGCCGTGCGAACATCTATGGCAGCAGGAAACAGGGCCAAAGACACACAGCTATTAGCAGGCGTTAAATCAGATGAAAAATGAATGGAGTCTGGTACAAAGCTCACAGCGTTAAGTTGAAATAAATCAGAACAAAGACGCAGAGCTACATGCTAGCACAGTTTGGATTAGAGAAAAATTAATAGTCTGGTACAGAAACCACAGCTCTCTGTTGAAGTAAATTAGTGCACGGAGCTACATGTTGGCATACTTTGAATTGGATCGGCGGTGGGGGAACTCCAGTCCTCGAGGGCTGGTGTCCTTCAGGTTTTATGTGTCATTGATCCAAGAGAGCTGATTTAAATGGCTAAACTACCTCCTCTTTGTTTCTTGAAGTTCTCCAGAGTCGTGGTAATGAACTAATCATTTATTTCAGGTGTGTTGACCCAGGGTAATATCTAAAACCTGAATGACACTGGCTCTTGAGGCTGGAGTTCTCCACACCTGGATTAGATGAAAAGTGAGTGGGAGCTGAACATTGTCACTGGAGACTGCATGTTTTAAACTGTTTCTTAGATTTAAATCAGATGGAATTGAAATTGACTGGGGCAGAGATTGTTTATCTCAGCACTGATGGAGTAGTTATTTCATTGATCCTAATATTGATTGTTGATTTGCTCTTTTGGATGATGTAATGACCTCTGACCTGTTACTGGATATAAGAGCACTGATTAATGTTGATCCTGTTTTGATTTTTAATCTGTTTCTTCCGCAGTATGGAGGATGATGAACTTCCGTCAGAGGATGGGATGGGTGGGTGTGGCTTTCTACTTGCTGCTCAGCGTCATGGCGGCGTACTACATCTTTGAGGTCCACAGCTTTAGTTTGGAACGTGTGCAGAGAGCAGGTACCAGCCCATCGGCTCCACCTCCCGCTATCACTGTCCATGGGTCACCACTTCCTGCGTGGATGTGGGCATTGATCTTCCTGCTGCCATACTTGCAGCTCTTCCTCTTCTTGTTCTCATGCACAAGGACGGACCCCCGCGCTGTTGGATACTGTGTGCTTCCTGTCTGTATCGCCCTTCTGTACAGCCGCCGCCATGCTGCCAAACTGGCCAATCACAGGGCAGCAGGATCGCTCATTGACACGTAGGGGATAACCAATCAGAGCCTCCCACGTGATGAGGGGTGGGATGACAGCAGGACTAGTTTGTGATGTCACTTCCTGTGTGCCTTTTAAACACTCCTACAAGTTTTGCCCTGATTGCGGCCTGACAGGAAGTTCTGCTGCTCTCAGTACAGACTCACAGCACCCTGTGAAAAAGCCCCTCCCACCAGTGGCAGCCAGTCTTTTTCCTGTTTTTTTTTTTTTTTTTGTTTTGTTTTGTTTTTTACTGTTGTGACATCATGGTGAACCCTGTGTTGTGATTTGTTGCCTGGCTGTGAGTCACTTTATTTTCATTAGTTATTTGTTTACTGACAATGCAGTGATGTTGCCATGGTTACCCGATACATTATTTAGGTTAAGGTTAACTGAAAACCTCACAGCTGACAGCCAATCAGTGAGCAGGATTCCTCCGAAATGTGGTACTTTTCTCTATTTAATGAGTCACATGAAACACTGTTTACCTTGACATCTTTATTGTGTCGTCAATTTAAAAAAAGAAAAATCAATGTGAAAGTGTTCTCAGGTGTTTCAGGTTCGTGATCTTTTTGAGGGAGGATGCACTTCACAGTTCTCTTCTTCCTCAGCTTTCTCGTCTTCTTCACTGCTGTCTTCTTCGTCCTCATCTGTGACAGGTGAAACAGATAGATGATGATTCTACATTGAACCTGGAGCATCAGACACCTGCAGTAACCAGCATCCTGCCAATTCACCAATCAAAGCGATCAATCCACCAACAATAAGTCTTCAGTGACAATATGAGTTAGTGATTCTGATTGTTTGATCAGGTGAGACAGGTGCTGACATTCATCAGTGCTCATATTTATTTATTTATTTTTTAAATGAAACCTTTATGAAGTGAAAACAAACATTGACAAAAGGACACAGACAGAGGTCAGTGCTCAGGTGTGTACTGGTACGATTATGTTTTAAACATTGTTTTTTTTTTTTTTTTTTTTTTTTCTGAGAATAAAACAAAGCAGCTGTACGTAGATCTGTGTTTGTGTCATTAATCATCAGCACAAACTCCGGATCAGATTGTGGATGTTCAGGATGAGGTTGTTGTCTAAGCACCACTGTCTAAAGTGTTGGATCTCCTTTGTAGTGCTAACCAAAATAAGCCAGTGTGAGCTCAGGTTCAATGTTTCAACTCAATTTTTGGAAGTGTCTCGCAGGGCAATTTTTTCTGTGTTAAGGTTGTGCAATTTGCAGTAAACAATGTGCTCAGAATTGTGTGACTTGTTTAAATACTCTTCTGTTGAAAGTGAAAGGCTTACAAATACATATGCATAAGTCCAAAGATCCTCCTGTTCACAACTTTCAATCACAATCTGACTCTGAGCATCTTTAATACATACAGCAGATTTTTAACAAAAAGAAGTCTTTGCGCTCTGCAGACATCAGTAAATCTGACCCTAAATGTTCCTCCTCCTTTAAAATTCCAGCCTCTGTAATGAAGGATATTTTTACAGGCTGTTCAACAACAGGGTTAGAACACGTTATGAACTAAGATGTTTTGTAGTCCTTTTGTAGTCCTTCTCCAGCACATTGTAGTTTCAACATGGCAAACATCTTACGTCATATCGTTAATGAGAGATGAGTGTAAAGCCATTCCAATTGTATGAAGTTACCAATTCTCAGGGGTCTCTCCTCTCTTTTCTTGACTCAAGTCCTTAGCAATTCTCCTATACCTTCCCTTTATATTGGTAGGCAAAGAGATTTGGAATAGGAAGTATGAGGTACTCAAAATCTCTTGAAGTTCTCCAGAGGGCTGGTAATGAACTAATCATGTGATTCAGGTGTGTTGGCCCAGGGTGATGTCGAAAACCTGCAGGCAGTGTTAGGAAGGTTATTTTTAAAGTGTATTCCACTACACATTACAGAATACATGGCCGAAAATTAGGGCTGGTATCGTCACTGATTTCTAGAATTGATTCGATTCTCGAGGTCTTGAATTGAATCGATCCACGATTTGATTTGATTTGAATCGGGGAAATTTTGCTTCAGACAGTCAGAAATATTATAATTCTTATCACGTATCAGTACATTTCCATATTTTTATATCTATAAAAAGAAAGCTGACACTTGTGAGACTTTATCAAAGGTGTAAGCATCACAGCAGATGCCTTTGTGTCAAAGTAACTGAGGATAAAACACATAAAAACATGAAGGTGATTTTCCTTGCCTGGGATTTTATAGCAGATGACCTTAACTATTCTGCAGTAGATCAAAAATGAAAGAATACCATTAATTAACATATGAACATTACCTGATACTGCTGAAGTGAAGCAGAGCAAAGTTACAGAGGTTTTATTAGAGACACAGCTAAGCGTTTTGCAATTTTGCATAATTTTTACAAAGTTCAGTAGCCTATTGAACACAGAAATTGGGCTTTCTTTTCGGAAGTAAGTACAAGGAAAGAAAACAGCAGCCGACAGATTTTTAGACGAAGCGTAGTTTGTCAGTATTGTTTGGAGAGAAATAAAACAGCAGCTTCAGAATCTAGCACAAAAAGGGCGTAAAAACAAATCACGGAACCGCCGAAACATCAGAATCTGTCAGCCCCAACCGTGTCCGCGTCGTTGGGTGAGAGAGGCGACATCTCACTGATTCTGATCCGTCGGGCGGGTCCGTGCTTTGTGTTTACATCTTTGTGCAGAATCTGTTTACCTGCCCTCATTTACTGTTTTAGCTGTTTGGTGGTTGTTGAAATTTTGTGAGGTTTAAAATGAGATTCTGGCGTTTCAGGCAAAATAAATGTATATTTAAAAATCGATTCAGGGTTTTAATGAATCGATATCACGTTATCCAAGCTACAATCGATTTTAATCGAGAAAGCAATGATCAAAACCCACCCCTACCCAAAATGTATTTTGTAACGTAATCTGTTAAGTTACTCAATGACAGTAATGTATTCTGAATACTTTGGAATACTTAATATATTGTCATGGGTTTTACAGCTACATGAATGTACTATTGCTGTGTTATATTACTATTACTGAAGGGTACTTGCTATAGCAATACCAACTAGATTTTTAAATCTTAATATAAAATGAGTAACAGTATGGTGGACATCAGGTAAGGCTGCACTTTTTTTGCAGTGATCTTGTATAGAAAACTATTTCTGTATCATTAATATGTTTTCTTTTTGTCTGTTAATAATCATGTGGAATTGCAAATGATTATTTGTAGCTAGCAAGTTGTTAAAGCTATCCATCAAGTCTAAAAAAAGCATGTTAATATGTGGAGATCCTGAAGGCTGCTCCAAAAATGATCAGATTATATTTTAAATATTTGTTCAAGTCTCTTTCAAACTCCAGCTGTTTATTTTAAGTTCGAATATTTACTAAAATAAAAATAAAAGCGTTCTAACATCTCACTTGTTTGTTTTTATTCAGGCATACATGTGTACTATGTTTATTCAGAGAGATAAAGCTTGTGTTTTAGTCACGTAGTGTGGTTAACTGTATGAAGCTTATTAGACGTTGTAAAACAGATGACATTTAAAAGCAAATTTTGCTAAGTGCTTAAGATGAAATTTTAAATTATCTTTTTTTTCTTAAAGAAATCCACTACATTGTGTGCAATTTTTTTATGTCATGTGTAATTTCCATTGCAAATATTACTCAAACTTAAATTAAGAGGGAATGGCAGTAAAAACTCCAGAGCTGTGATGCCATCACGTACATTGCCATACAATGCCATAGAACAATCGCGCTGCGTTCTTGGGAAGTTTGTGCTTCCTTGTAAGTCCGGACTCGCGTACCTGAGTACAGTGGTCCCTTGCTATAACTCTGTTCACTTTTCGCGGCGTCGCTGTTTCGAGGATTTTTTTTGTATGCAATTTTGCATGGTTTTTTTAGGGGGGGGGGCACAAAAAGTTGGACTTCTAAAGGAAGGTAGAAGTTACCGTATTTCTTGAACCATAAGGCGCACCCTCTCCACCGAATTATAAGGCTTATTAAGCGAAACAAAACCGTCAGATAAGTATCTTGATGCATGCTCAATCATCCAGGTATACGTCAGATAAGTACTCAACTCATTCTTCTTGCTTCCACTGCCTCCACTTCCATACATTGATTCATTAATGGTGAATTCTCTCGCAGGTGCTCTATTCCCATGTTCTGGACCTGAAAACAGGGCTTGGTCTTTGGTTTCATTCTGTAATACTGGACTTATTTTTCTACGAAGGTTTGAACTTTGAAAGTGTTTAAACAAGAGAGAAAAGTGTGAAAATGTTCACAAAGTGTGTAGTGAGGGGTTTAACTGAAATGAAGTTGCCATGGGAAAACCTTGTGGGGTTAACAACAGATGGTGCACCAGCGATGTGGAGTCAAAGGAGTGGACTGGTGGGCAGGGTGCGGGAGAAGATGCAAGCGGAGAACTGTGCAGGTGAGCTAAATGTTTATCACTGCATCTAGTGCTGGGCGATATGACGATATATATCGTGTGGACGATAGAAAAGTGTCTATCGTGCCATTTGTCTTCTATCGTTTCTAACCAAATTTTATAAATTATGACATAAAATATATCATTAACCCTTTAAAACCGGTCGGAGCGGGCACGCTCCGTTTTGCCTAATTATTTTTAAATCCCTGTAGAACTGGAACCATGTAAGTTAGCGCAATAAATTTTTTTTGCATAGGAAACTGGAGGAGTTGTACTTACATCTTATGCCATCAGCTTGTCCTAGGTCACGGTTTCTTTGCACATATAGCTTTGCAAAAATTGCATAAAAAGCACTTGCAGCAACAAAAACATAATATTCCAGAATCATGGTTTGCCGATCCGATCAGCTGTTCATAACACTTCCTATTTTGGAAGTGTTGTTGTTGGTCAGCGCGAACTATTGCTTGTCCGCCATTACCTGCCCGAAACCAGAAGTGACGTCATTTTTGCAGAAAATTTAGTTTTTTACCTTCAGGGCCTTATAAGCCTATGCTGGTGTTTTTAAAAGTTATGTTTGACTTTATGCTTTTCTGTATCATTTCTGGGATGCTTAGAACTCAAATTACACTGTTGGAAATAGTTTATTTTGATGCACATGCTATTTCTTTGCAGCAAGTTGGGAAAAGAAAAACTATAGCCAGCCGAAGATATAGCAGTCTTTCATACAAGGCTCTTATGAGAAAACGTCCCAGCGCCATAAACAAACCACAGGAGCCATCTCGCGTTACATTTGTAAAGGCATGGCCCCTGTTTATGTAGTTGAGAAGGACAGCTTTCGTGACCTCGTCAAAGTCTTTGATCCGAGGTACGTTATGCCCGGTCGTAAGCACTTCAGGAAAGTTGAGTTGCCTCGCTTATATGACGCATGCCGGACCAAAGTAGAGAAGGATGTTTGCAGTGTTGTGCATTATGCCTTGACGACTGACCTATGGACGAGCAGAGATACGCAGCCCTACATGAGCGTAACCATCCATTTCATTAACAAAGACTCCACCCTCTGCGCTCGCTGTTTACAGACTGCGTACTTTCCAGATGACCACAGGTCAGGTGGTATATCGTGATATACATCATTATCGTGATATAAAATAATTCATATCGTGATAAATATTTTTTCCATATCGCCCAGCACTAACTGCATCAAACATCGAGAATTGCATTGTGGCACAGCCCTAAAGATGGACTATGTTATGACTGCAGTAACACGAGTAGTTAACTTTATAAGAGCCAAATGTCTGAATCAGCGCCAGTTCAAATCTTTTTTTGAGGAGTGTGGTTCGGAATACGCAGACGTGCCGTATCACACAGAGGTGAGATGGTTAAGTCGAGGAAAAGTACTGAACAGGTATTTTGAGCTACATGAGGAAATATTTCAATTTCTGGAAAGCAAAGGGCAAGACACCGCTGAGCTCAGGAAGCAAGAGTTTCTGTGTGAGCTGGCCTTTATGTGTGACATCACAAGCCATCTCGATGCGCTGAACCTACAGCTTCAGGGACGGGGGCGTATCATCACGTGTACACTGCGATGAGGGCTTTTAAAACTAAATTGTGCCTGTGGCAGAATCAGATGCTACAAGGAAACCTGGACCATTTTCCCTGCTGCCACACGATGAACATGCAGATCTCTACTGCTGTGCTCCCATGTGCACAGTTTGCTGAAAAACTCTGTGTACTCAGTGCTGAGTTTACCCAGCGATTTGCCAATTCTGATGCCCAGAGATGTCAATTTGAACTGCTCAGTAATCCTTTTGCATGCATCAAGATGGTGGCAAACGCACCAAAAAACTTCCAAATGGAACTGATTGAACTTCACATGCTGAAGTCAAAGTATGATCCCTGACACAGTGTCTGACCGATGAACACCTTCACTCGATCCTGAGGATTTCCTCAGCTCAGAGCCTGAGCCCAGAAATTGAGGATGTAGCATCCAAGATTAGATGCCAGGTATCTGGCTTAG